AATATTACTAACTACTACTTGGACAAACAAAAAGTGCTTACTAAATCTATGTATAATTAAACTCTCTCACATTTATCGCTTTCAAAATCTTATAAACCTATTTCTTAATAATATCCCGAAACCCTTTTATTGCCGTGCATCTTGGGTGCCAAGTGCATTGGGAACAGGTTTCCCTCCGGGGCATCGGTCATCTTCGTTCTGGGGACTCTGTATTAATCACTTCGATTCAACAGTGATCACCTTCGATATGGTGCCTGCACTTCGCCATTCCCGATAGCCCCCACTCGATAGCAGGCTCACAATTTATCAAATACCAGAAGGCAATCTCAGGGAGCAGAGGAGGAAGCCATCGGCTGAGTCAGTGGCCAGGCATGCCATAACGAACCTTAGCCTACTTAGCAAGTCCAGCCGAAAAAAAAAATCCCCCGCCGGTTGTTTCCCACAATTATGCAAAACAAAGAGGCAGCCCCAAATACCGAGGGGGTGGAGTTATGGAAACAAACATGCCCATACCACAAGGTGCATCTCCTCGTCCAACCAATTGACTGGCAAATTATAATGCATTATTTCATAACTCCCGCCAGCAACTTGTTTGAACTGAGTCAGCCCCGGAACGGATCCCTCCACGGATCCCCTGCCCGCTTGAATCCCAGAGGTTCGTTCAATCCCAGGTCCCAGGTCCAGTCTGCAGCAACCCGACCCCATGGCAATGGCCAGCAATCAAATCACTTGCCGCCCCAAGCTGAGCGCTAAAACGAGTCAATTGTCATAGAGAAAGGATTCGAAGAGGTGGTTCTTAGTACTCAAGATTATAATACAAAATATATCTGAGAATTCTCTGAAGATTTGTAACTAATTTGATGAATTTGAGTATGAAAAATGTGTAGTTAGAAGGAAAACATAATATTTTAATTGCTTCTGATAAAAACTTAATAAATTAGCATTCTAGTTTTTCGTTACCTGAAAAACATGGTGATTGTGGAGTGACTTTTTCTCTAATGAAGATAAAAACCAATTGAGAATTATAGCTTAGCAAAGGCTTCACTTTAACCAAAGGCAAATAATAAATCTTAAGTTACAAATACTTGCTAATATTTTAAGGTATAAATACACCCAAATAATACCCCAACAAATCTTTCTAATAATTGAAGTATTTTACATCTTACAGCACGAGATATCTTTACGATAATATAATAATTTAAGAATAATTAAACTTAAGTAATACTCCGAAGCTTTTTTCAAATAGATTGAAAATAAATACACCCAAATAACACCCCAACAAATCTTTCGAATAATTGAAGAATTAATACATCTTACAGCACGAGATGTCTTTACTATAATATAATAATTTAAGAATAAATAAAACTATGTAATAATCCAACGCATCTTTCTAATAATTTAATAACAAATACACCAAACTAACTACCCGACATATCTTCAACTCAATCCCAACCCCATCATACCCTTGATACCCTCTTTTTTTCTAGCCAAGAAGAGATTGCTAGACAACACAATCGCATTTTCTCGTTCCGTTTTGTGGCCTACATTGGCAACATTGTCCTGACTTCGAACTTCTCTTCTGGCAGTTAATTTGATTATGTATTTTCCGCTGGGCCGCATTGATTAACTGCCGTCTGACATGACAGCTCAATCCCCTAAACCCCAAGAAAAAATGCCCGCCATCGATGTCATGATTATCGGATTGCGCAACATTCCCCGGAGAGTCCTCTTCGGATAGCCGCTGCCTTTGGTTTGGTTTGGTTTTTTTGTTTTTTATTTTTGAATTCCCTCGTTATGGTCTTCAACAAACAACGACTTGGAGAGCCCTTCCAGCCACTTTGTCTATGCTAACCGCCATCTGACAACGATCGCGTAATCGCCCTTAATCCATCAATAAAACGGGGCCATCACGATATCTGCAAGTCGACGGAGGTTGCTTGCCACTGTTGCTTAAAATAAGCAGAGGAGAAAATATCGCCAAAATCAGCAGTCAAATTTGCCAATTGCAGCAAACGATCCGCAACACCATCAGTCAACACAATCAATCTTTTCTTGGCCGGGTTTAATTTTGGTCTGTGGTAATATTTGCTTTGTTTGTTGTTGGCTAAGTGCATTTATTTCGGGGGGGCCCGATCGATCAAGTGCCCTAAAACCTTTCACTAATGATTTGATCATGGAATATATATATATATATCTATATGTGGAGCCTGGTATAGCGCTAGCATTTAGGCTGCCAAATTGATTGTGACAGTCCAATTAGTATTAATAGGCAGTTTTCAGTTTGTTTGTTTTTTCAGATTTCTGCGGGGCTTTTGGTATCAATTTTTGTGGCCATAACTCATTGCCATCTTTCAATCAGTCGGAGTTTACCTTCACTTCTTTTTGCGTCCTCGGCGATCGGGATTGGATAAGAAGTGTCCCACTGCCCGAAAACAAACGACTCGCATTCACTTTTTTAGCCATACGGGCTATAAGAGAAACAAATTAACTGATGATCAGTGTCAATGGAATGCAACCATGTAAATTACAGGCTGCATCCATATCCTCATCCTCGCCGAGGAAGGGGAAATCAGAGCCACAAGCACCTGGTGGATCCGGATCGGAGCTCTCCCCTATCCATGATCCTGGCCATGAATCGTGTCGTGATTACAGGTTGTTTTGGAGGATTGGCCCAAACTATGCGATGTGTTGTCGTTTTGAAGCGATGAATTAAGCGATATTTGCAATTAATAACTGTCATGCTTTGGAAATCTGCTCAATAATAAAATTTGTTTAACGAATCAAAGACAGGGACTGTGTCTCGTCTTTCTGGGATTCTCTGGAGCCCGTTCTCCCTGCGATGGCCTCAAGCGATTTCGCAATCGAGGCGACTTTCGTGTTAATGGCATGCAGGCAATGCCATTGATTTCACTTCGATTGCCCATAAAATACGGCCAAGTGGAAATCCAAGTTCGGTGCAATGTCTCGAGGACTTGACACTGAAAATTAAACCTTTTAATTGGAGGAAGGATTATGAAAGAATGTTATTTCTACAAGCTGTTGAGACTAAAATTGCAAGCTATGCTACAAATTACAAAGGAAATGTTAAAGTATTTTATAATGTTTTCTATTCATTTATATAACTGTAGAGCCTTTAAACACAGCATACATCAATTTACTTCTTTGATTAAAATATTTTTAATATAATTTAATCTAAATTTCGCTTTCCAAATTCTATATTTTTGAATAATTACTAATCAATTTTGTTCAGTGACTGGGCCACGTGCTTGAAGGCGGCAAAAGTTATTGACTGATTATGAGATTTGGCACGCCATGAGGAGAGAAGGCGGAATGTCGGCAGATTATGTTTTGAAAGTGCAGTCACTGATTTCTTTATGAATTCATTAAACTTTAAATTGGTTTTAAATTGGCCCCATCTCCGACTCCTGGCATTGGCTCCATCTCCACCTCCGATGTCCGTGTCTTCCGTCGTGTGGAATTTGGCACGACCTGCTCGCTGCTCGCTGTGGCGATTATCTGGCAGCCCACATCTTGGCCAGGTTTTGCTTGGCGGCCAGCCAGCCAAGTGGCCAACTGGCCAACTTCCTTGCCCCTGTGCACGCTGTGTGGCCAATAGCCGGGAGCAGCCTGTGGGCCAATAATATTAATAACACGCACTTTGTAAGCCAGTCAGCCCTCCAAGTATCGGAACCTCCTGCCTGCAAGCCAGCTGCCTGCATTCTCGCCAGTGGCCTCATCCTCATCCTCATCCTCATCCTCAAACCCATCCTCATCCTCAGGCTCAGCATCAGCATCCCATTGTTTGTTTTCATTAAGAGAAATATTGCAGCGTCAACATGAAATCAATACCGGGTCCAAGGCGAACCACCCGCACCTAAGGCAAGGATCGAGCTAGGGATGGGAGCTGAGTTCAGACACGACAGCTCCTTAGAGAATTTGTATTTTAAAAGAATGCTCTTTAATTTAAATTATCTGAATTAATGAAAGGAAATTTAAGCATTTTCCCGCCTTGCAGATATAAAAAACTATATTAAAACCAGGAATATTTACCAAAAAGATATACAAAGACTTGAACACTTAATTACAAAACGTTTTCAAAGTGCAATAAATGTTAAATTATAGAGAAATATTGATATATTCTTATGGAAATATATAAATATATAAGAAATATATAGAAATATAGAAAATAAATTTACTTATTTTATATTTCAATAAAAATATATAAATATTTCTCTATATTTCTTAGTTCTCAGTTACTCACGCTACCATCTCTAGCCCGCACGCATTGCACACACGCCTTTTGTTTCAGAGGCTGATGCCTTTCTGATGGGGGTGACTGATTGGGATGGTGATTGTGATTGTAGCTGTGCAGCATCGTGTCCTCTGTCTGGCAAGTTGCCTCCATGGGCTAAGGACATGGACACAGACACGGACACGGACATGGACATGGACATGTGCAATGTGCCGTTTGTCAGTGGCGCATAAAAGAAAGGAGTTTCGTGTCCTCAGTTTCAGTTTCTGCTGGTGGCTCAGCGCCTTTTGCCTTCCCCAGAAATCTGATACCTTGGCCCCGCTCGTAATTGTGCAGATGCATTGGTTGAAAAGGTGTCACCCAAGTGGTTCAGATATTTATATATATATATAGTTACTATATACCCGACTAACGCAAGTCGGACACGCGTCTGTGATTCGGGTCACCTACCTCACACCTGTTCGAAGGCAAAGGATATATAGGAAGTGAATAGTTAAAGGTAAAAGTTCTGCTCTTTGGAGAAACTGGAAATGAGCAGGAACTCCTGCTCCAATAAATGGAATAGGGAATAACAGAAAAGTTTAAACATTTAATGGTGGAATAACCAAAGGGATGGAAACCTTGAGATCCTACTCTAAAAATTTGTAGTTTTTAACCAGGAAATTTATACAAATTTCTAATCATGGTAGCCATGAAATTTTTTGGTGATAAATGTCAAGTAATGGAAGCCTAACCAGGTGTAGCATACCTCAGTTAACGTTCTCAGCTGACACAAACAACATCTATTCAGGAAAGTAAAGTGAAGTAACGTAACGTAACTGTTAAATATTATTATTATTTACGATGCATTTAAAGTTTTTCTCAAATCGCGAAGATAGTTTTGGCACCGGCTATCAAATCAAAATTCAAGGTGAACAAACAATTTTGGACTTAAAGTTAAAATTAGAAGAGAATGTTAACATTTCGGCTCAGAGTACAAAAATAATGTTTTTGGATTCAGTTCTCGACGATCGTGAATCTCTTGCGAATGTTACCGAAAAGTGTTTAGTGTTCGGTGTTGTCCCAACAAGCGATGCTCTTCACAACACTGACTTGATGGCTGTCAGTGAGGGCAGATTGGTTGGATGGTTACGAGCCATCAAGTCTGATCGTCGACCATTCCGGATGAAAAATCTGTATAACCTTTGTGATTCCAAAGGCATGGCTTGTAGGGCTGCCGGTTGCAAGCGATGCTCTGCTCAAATCTTGGAGGCGAGTAAGGCGCTCTGCCTGGATGCGGAGTGCAGCCTCCAGGATAGCTGTACGGCGACCGAGAGCAACGTCACTGGCGAAAGCAGCACCATTGAGAGCACTAGCATTTTCGGAACGAAACTCGAGACTGATGAGCCTTCCAAGCAGGACGATAATCTCGCCACTGGATGTCGCGAAGCCTGCTGTCCCTACGATCCTAAGCGTCCGATGTATATTCAGGTGATGCCCGAAAACCGGCAATATGCTGTTGTTATCGAGCGCGGTTCATGTGCCTGTCTGGATGTGAATCGCATCCTGCAATATATAGCGGAACACCTTAAGGAGGCGGACGAAGCGAAAGCCATTTCGTTCAGCGTATGCGCTCCAGTGGTGCCCTTGCAAGGAGCTCTCATGATCGTGGGCGGAGGCGCGACTAGTCGGGATTGGATCCAAAGGATTACGCAACCTATTTGCCCCCCGTTTGAAATCAGAACTTTCATTAATTACTTTGACCTAATGCGTTGGTGTATAACGATTCCTCTGGCACTCGAGAGGTCCCTGTGCCGGATTTTCAATCTCTTAGAGAAACAAAATCCCCACCTGGACACTTCCACATGGGTGGTGGTTAATCAAGTCGTATTGGACCGCTGCAGCAAGGACTTCAAAAAGAAAGCTGTAGAGCATGGTTTTCGGAATTTGGAAGTTAGTGTTTATATTGACCACGAAACTGCTGAACTGGTCAAACAGCAATGTAACAAAGTACTTTACGTTATATGGCAATTACCATTTGGACCATGCGGTTCGGTTTGCTAATCAGTTGCTCCGGAGCACGTACACAGTAAATTCACCGTTTTTGAACAAATTTTTCGTTTAAGACACTAAACAAAAGTAGGCAGTGAAAATTCCTTCAAGGAACTGGAAAGTCCTCTTGTTAAGGAAATGATTTCTCTACTTAATTGGTATGTATATTTATGCAAAATATTGTCAAAATCTTTCTAACATTCATATATGTACATAGGTGCCCCCAGTACCAAAATGTCTTAACCGTCAGATTGCTGGGCGTGATGTTGGAAAAACAAATCTCATGGGTTTCGCAAAGAGGACTAAAGGAAAGGAAAATTCGGTGTTAAAAGGTAAGTGATTTATTTTTATTTAATGAATAAATTTATTTGCAGATTTACGTGAACGGGAAAGACATTATGCAATTTCTTTTCTCAAAAGATGGTATGTATATTAATGAAAAATATTCCCAATTTGATTCTGAAATTCATATGTATGTAGATGTATTTTATTTGAAGATTGAAAGGCCAAGAGCCGGAAAGGAAGACCCCTAACACAGGCTTGACAGATGCTATGGTATTAAAATGTATTGTAATTTATTGAATTTGAAGTGAAAATGTAAATTTAAAATTGTGCCGGATTTTTACTTGGGGAAAAGGGGATTTTCTACACGTTTTCCTCTTGGATTCCTGGCTGATTCTGCTTTGAATAACCTCACGATTCCTGGTTAATTCCGTCTGGAATTCCTGGCTGATTCTGCACTGAATTACCCCATGATTCCTGTCTGATTCCGTCTGGAATTCCTGGCTGATTCTGGTCGCAATTTGGTTTTAAATTCACTTCTGATTCCGGGCGGAGTTCGTATTGATCGCCAGGATTCCTGGCCGATTCCCGGATGATTCGCGGAATTTAGGTTTGTTGAAAATTCAGGTATGATTCAGGCCTGAATCCGATGGGGATGGTACTGAAGGTTTGTAAACAAAAAATACTTCATAAAACAAGCAAGACATTTGTAAAACGGAATATATGTTGAAAAAAAATATTGCTTGTTTATAATAAATTTTTTATTCAAGGCGACAGTTAGAATCACTGTTCAGTCCCTCAGTAGGCAAATAATTTGATGTTGAAAAAATACCTATATTATAAATTACAACTATAATTTTCAATGCAAAGTTCTAACCATAAACCAAATGATTATATCCCCGCATTGACCTCAACCCACATTCTATATCACATCCGCCCAACCGACAGAAAATCAAATAAAAATGCGAATTGCCCCAGGATGCGTTGCAGCCTTGAATGCCGGGTTCCATCATCCATCGATAAATGCAATTGTCTCTCGCTGGGCTACTTTTTAATTTCGAAACCTTGAACTTTTTGTTTGGCTGGCCGCAAATTGCAGAGGTAAGTAAATGCAATAAAAACAAAGTTGCAATGCAGATCTCAGTAATCAGTTGGGCGAAATCGCAGCCGGTTGGCCAAAAGCGCCAACAACTTCATCACAAACAATGGCTAATGAGTCAGTGGAGTTGGCCCAGTCGGCCAGAAAAAGAGGGGGAGACTCGAATCTGTCGGCGGCAATTGACTAATAAAACCATCAAAGACATTAAACGTTGTGGGTGCCATTCATTTGATTGAACTCTGACACCCAACCCCAAGAGCCATTCGAGCATAAGCCAAGATGCAGATGCAAATGCCGCTTTTGACCAGAGCCAAGTTGGGCACAAAGGCGCAAAGGAGACCCCATCAAAATAATAATAATAATAATAAGCGCAATAATAATGCAAGATGCTGCAAAACGAGTTGCAGATAGGAAAAGCGTTTGCAAAATTACCACAAGCTGCCTTCGATGCTACTTAATACCCTTTAGAAAGAAGGAGTTATCGATAGCAGATAAAGATGAAGAGCTACAAACAAATTTGATAATATATAATAATAAAACAAGGAAGACTTAGAACTAATTACAAACTTAAATAAATATATTATAATACAAAACGAATTGCATTTAAATTTTGCATTATTTTTAGGGGCAGTTCTTTAGATACTAATTAATACCCTTTAAAAAGAAGGAGTTAAGAGTACTACAAACAAATATAATCATATATAGTAATGAAAGAAGGAAGTCATAGATCCAATTACAAGCTCAAATAAATATATTATAATAAAAACGGAATTGCATTTAAATGTTGCATTATTTTGAAGGGCATTCTGTGGTCTACTTTAAAAATCCTCTTGCCTTCCCACCTCCCAGCGGGTGGGTAGGATTTGTAAATTATGGCAAGGTCTGCACGTGCTCAGTGGCCATTGTTTTGGGCCAGCTTGTGTTGCATCATCAGCGGCATCATAATCCAATGAATGGGCGACAAATCATATTGCCGCAGTTTTCGGGTTTTACGGGCTAGAGGAAGTTCGGAACTGCAAACCACTTCCTATCGGCGCAAATCGATCGCAGTTAATGCTCAATACCATTCTAGAAAATCGATGGAAAAACGATCAACAAAATATAATTGTGTGGCCATTTCAATTTCATTTAACTCTGAGTCGCCCTCGGGTTATGTTCGGACTGTCGCACAGTTTCGATCAACAAACTGGCGGTGGCATTGTTTTCATTTTCCAGACTGTCTGCCAAAAGCTTTTTCGAGATTTCTTGAGTAGAGAGACTGGATAGACCTGAGAGAGATCGTTATAATCTGGCCCCTGGCGCCGCAGTTGCAACTGCCACGTCCTTCGCTTCGAGTGGGTGGCTTTAAATTGTTTGGCGGCGGGTTGGTTTTTCTTATTTTTTTTTTTATTTTTTGTTTTATTTCGGCTGCAATGGTTGTTTGATTTAAAATATAATTTTATATAATCTGCTACCAGCGTCAATTAAATGCACGTTTCGGCTGGGGCTAGGTCTGCTAAATGCAATCGATTATTTGGTTTATTTTAATTGCTTTGCCTTGGCCAAAAGGCAACGTGAGAACGATCGATTCTTGTTCTGCCGATCAATTGTAGATAGTAAGACAAACAAGTTTCGTTTAGATTAAATTCGGATACACAAGGAAAAATAAGCTTCTAATTCCATTTTTATTAATTTAAATACTCATTCTAGCTTCATTTAAAATCATCCTCGAGGCTGTATAACATTTATGAACACAGCACAAATGATGTAAACATCTGTTGTTAACTCATTTATGAACCAACTGAGGCACCCCTCAACGTGTTAAACGTCAATAAAGTTGCTAAAATCAACAAAAACACGAAACACCCGTTCATATGGAGGCGATTCAGCCCGCTGGCAACCAAATGGAAACAATAAAGCGAGAACTGAACCCTTTTCTATATATACTATATGATGGTATGGGGGTGTCTATATGGAAGGGAACTCTCCCAACAACAGTCTGGACAATTAACTGTGTGAAGTGCCTTGGTAATTATGTCGCTGTTTAGGGCATAAGTGTGCCACCAGACTCCCACAAAAAAAAAGGGGGTTAACTTAAACAGGCGCCGTGGAAAACAAACAGAATTAACCAGTCAACTCGTTGGCAATTCCAATTACTCAGGGTTGATAACGATAAAATACAGTGGTTAATGGAAATTTAGTTATTAAATAGTTAAGTTTTGTATAATTAGAGTTTGGTAGAGGAGGAAGTTAGAATTTTAAACTATTCTACATAGACTTTTATAGTACTTCAGTTACTTATTGGTTAAATTTTGAATAATTAAAATCTAATGAAGAAGTAGTTTAATTTTCTGTATTATTCTTTATTCTTTATTTCTTGAACTCTTATTATGTAAAATAAACTATTTAATAACTGAATTTTCTCAATTTCCAATTAACTTTGTAATAGTAAATTAAAATTATTAAATCCAAGTTTGTGCCTTTAAATATTTCTGAAATATATAAAAATACACGTCGAATAATATATTAAAATTTTTAAAAATGAACTTTTTATGATAATAAAAATGGGATACGTACCATTAGTATTTTAATGTATAGAATAAGTATTATAAGTAAGTAAGTAAATGTATTAAATACCATTTCATTAAATATCTTTCTTAGGAAATACCTCTTAATATGTTAAATCGTTTACAAATAAACTGCTATAAGTTATAAATTTGCATACTTCTCATTGGTATTGTAGCTGTATTAAACTATATTTTTGTAGAAGTATGATCTCATTTAATATCTTTCTTAAGAATAACCTCATAATATATTAAATTGTTAAGAAATATACTGCTGTAAGTTATAAAATTGTATACTTCTCATAAGTATTATAGCTGTATTGAATAATATTTTCAAATACTATCTAATTTTTTTCTTTTTCTAAAGCAATACATTCCAATCTTTATCTTAAAATTGTATAGTAATAAATTTACATTATTTTTACTCTCCATATTATATTCCCACCTCAACAAATATTAAAATACCTTACTTCAAGCATCTTTAAACAAATAATATACTTATGAAAAGTAAAAATCCAATAATTTTCAAATTTCCCATCTAGGCCCCACTGTACTAAAAATAAGGTTGGCATTAAGGCAACTCAATTAATGTCGACTTGGGGGCGCCTGTATAAAAAATACGAGTATTCCCCCTTCAAAATGCAGCAATCTGAGTTATTGCATTATGGAAAACCCCAAAAAAAATGGCCCAGAGGCTCAACGTTTTCTGAGGGATGTGGGGGGGATTGGTGCACGCCTCATTGGTATATATCTCACGTGGAATGGACGATATGGCGGCGTGTGAAAAATCAGCTTGAAAGGATGCCGCCGCGAGTCCTCCAGCCCAACCCCAGGAACACGTGTCGCAGTCTGGGCGGCACTAAATCATAACCAAATGCTTATGATTAGACCTGGAGCAGGCGACTCCCGTCTCGGTCACATTACACTTCACGGCGAGTTAAGCGCCCGTAGCACCGAGTTTTCCGGCAGCTGAATATGAGTCCTATAAATAGACACTCCCTGGGATCTTGTACTACCTTGGCATTCGCTTTGGTTTTCCTCTTTTTAATTAGAAACATTTGAAAGCTATTGTCATCGGGAGTGTGTGGGGATCTGGGATCCTCAACACTTGTTGCCAGCTATCACTGCCCTGGTCGGGCTAATGAGCCTTGGATTCTGGAAAATACGGCACAAAGTTTTGGGGAGACAAGGCTCACCAGCAACAAATGAGCCTGTCACTGGAGGAGCAGCAGATGGAAATTGTTTTGGAAAAATATACACGGGGAAAAATCAATGCCAAACGGGTCTACATGGGTGATTAAAGTATGGAAAAAACATTTAAATTTATCAAAAGGGGAGAGTTCTAAACAGGAGAGAGTATTTAAAATGATGAAGAACTATACTTGGTATACCAAAATCAACATAAAATACCTTCCAAGGTATTATAATAAAAGAAAGGAGTTTCGTGTCCTCAGTTTCAGTTTCTGCTGGTGGCTCAGCGCCTTTTGCCTTCCCCAGAAATCTGATACCTTGGCCCCGCTCGTAATTGTGCAGATGCATTGGTTGAAAAGGTGTCACCCGAGTGGTTCCTATATTTATTTATATATATTTATAGTTCCAATATACCCGACTAACGCAAGTCGGACACGCGTCTGTGATTCGGGTCACCTGCCTCACACCTGTTCGAAGGCAAAGGATATATAGGAAGTGAATAGTTAAAGGAAGAAATTCTGCTCTTTGGAGAAACTGCAGATGAGCAGGAACTCCTGCTCCAATAAATAAAATAGAGAATGACAGAAAAGTTTAAACCTTTAATGGTGGAATAACCAAAGGGATGGAAACCTAGAGAAAGTTTCCTACTCCGACTCTAAAAATTTGTTGTTTGTCCCCAGGAAATTTATACAAATTTCTAGTCATAGTAGCCATGAAACTTTTTTGTGAGAAATGTCAAGTAATGGGAGCCTAACCAGGTGTAGCATACCTCATTTCACATTCTCAGCTGAGACAAACAACATCTATTCAGTAAAAGTAACTTTTCCATATTATTATCCAAACAATGTATCTCAAATTTTTCTCAAACCGTGCAGATTCTTTTGACCATGGTTATAAATTCAAAATTCAAGATGAAGTAACAATATTTGACCTAAAATAAAATTTAGAAAAGAAAGGTAAAATTCCAATCAATAATGCTTACTTACATTGTTGATTGTTTTGAAGATCTAATGCAGCTGAGAAATAGACGCAGAGTGCAGCATCCAGAGCGGCATCATCACAGAGAGCTTCAGCATTGGCGAAAGAAAGTTCCTTCCATCCTTCACTGGCTGCAGTGAGATCCTCAATATTTTAGAGAAACAAAATTGCCCGTTAGACAGTTTCACCTGGGTTGTGATTAGCCAAGTCATATTGCAGCAAGAATTAAAAAAAAAAGGCCGTGGGCGAAGCCTATCTACATATATTTACGGATGTATTCTGTAACTAAGACGCTATATTAATTACACTACAAAATTTCCCTTTAGTATCAAAATTCCTTTTCCGTCTGATTCATGTTCAAAAAACAAAGCTCATGGGTTTCGCTTAGGGAACTCTGAAACAAAGTAATCAATGAAAATTCTACCTATGTTCGGCTACTTCCGATATTCATACTAAATATTGAAGAATAATAATATCGGAACCCCAGCTACGAATCTCTGCGAAAACAACAAACATGAAGTCAGTATCCTAACAAAGGTCGAATTTTCATTGCCTACTTTTTTTCAGAGTTCTCTAAGCGAAACACATGAGATTTGTTGTTATTTTTCGAACATGACGCCAGAAATCAGACGGGAAAGGAATTTTGGTACTGAAAGGAAACAATAAAAACTTCCATAAAATAAACGATAAATTTGTAAAACGGATTAAAAATGATATTGACTCTTCAGTCAAAAATGATAAGGGGTTACATCATTAAAATTGTCGAAAATTGGCAAAAAATTCAATTTTCTAAAATTAAAAACTGAGTATGCAGATTTATTAACCCTATAAAAACTAGCATAGGAACGCTTTCCGAATTGAAATCAATGCATTTTTGCCTTAGTGACGGGTTTTTTTCAATTTGATTTTTAGGAAAAATTGGCATAAAAATATACAAAATACCTACTCAAAGAATGGGATTATAATTTCAGTCATTTTCATTTGGAAACATTTTTCTTTGAGTATGCAGATTTGTTAACGTGATAAAAACTAGCACGGGACAGCTTTCCGAATTAAAATTAAAGTTTTTTGGCTTTGTTATGAATTTTTTAAAATTTGATTTTTAGCAAAAATTGGCGTAACAATAGATAAAATATGGTATTATAACCTTAGTCCGAAGCGTATAAAACAGTGAAGGAGTCATTTCCGACCCTATAAATCATATATATTCTTGATCAGCATCAACAGCCGAGTCGATCTAGCCATCACCGACAGAAAAAATATGATTTTCATTTTTTCAACATTTTTTAAGTGGTTATTATGTCAAAATTGTCAACAAAAAAAATGTCAAAATTTGTAATTTTTATAAGTAGTTAAAACAGTATGCAGATTTATTTACCTATTAAAAACTATAATATAAAAGCTTTCCGAATCAAAATTAATGGTTTTTTGGCTTAGTTATGAGATTTTTAAACTTTGATTTATAGGCAAAATTGTCATATAAAATATATATAAATATTGACTCAGAAAACGGAATTATAAATTTAGTCAGAAGCTTAAAACTTAGTGAAGGAGTCATTTCCGACCCTATAAATCATATATATTCTTGATCAGTATCAACAGCCGAGTCGATGTAGCTATTTTCCACAGAAAAATTATGTTTTTCATTTTTTCAACATTTTTTAAGTGGTTACTATGTCAAAATTGTTGACAAAAAAATTCTCAAAATTTGTAATTATTATAAATATTAAATAGAGTATGCAGTCCTTTTTAGCTAACAAAAACAAACATAGAAAAGTTTTCCGAATCAAAATTAATGCTTTTTTGGCTTAGTTATGAGATTTTTAAGCTTTGATTTGTTGAAAAAATTGTCATATAAGAATATCGATAAATATGGATTAAAAAATACCATATTTTAAGCTTAGCTATGATCGATATCAGATTCGATTCCAGAATTTATTTGCAAACTGCAATGGTATATAATTTTTGGCTCCTAGAATTATGTTTAATTGTTAAGTTTTTTTGTCTTGTTTAAAATTATATCTAGACTCAGTCTTAGAAAAGCTAAGTCTAGATATTAGAACATTCCTTAAAATTATATAAAACTTGAAATAAGTATTGTAAGTTTATGATAATTTCTTTTTATGACTTCACCTTATTTAAAGAAATATTCCAGCTTAAACACATTTAAAAATAAATATATTTTTAAACAAAATAGAAGACAATTCCTATGTTGTTTTGTCAAAGGCTTCTTTGTAGTTCTCCAAAAACCCCCTGAAAATCCCTTCTATAAAACAGCGATCAATGTGCATAAAGCTCACATCAGATCGGCTTTGAAATACTTGTATTTACGAAATCATTTCCAAGAATGGGACTTCCAGCAATTCTCCGAGGACATAAACGTCATGTTTTCATCGGGGGCTTAAGTCGGGCCAAGTGTTATCCCTTTGTATCGGGCAATGTCTTATGTTTTGTTAGCTGCAAACACACCGATGATGGGCCATAATCGCTGAAATTGGCTTAGTTGCCACCCATAAAACCGGGGCCCCCTCTTGTTTTTTTTTTTCTTTTTGAAGGAGGGAGTCAGTGCAGGGATACTAAAAAGAATAAAAACAACTTTTACGATGGCCGCAGATTCACTCTCAAAGTGCAGTAAAAGTTGCACGGGACAATCCGTCAATGACTGAGAAGTTGGGCAGAAGAATCGTCTGTGACGATTTTACTGCGACAAAAAGGGGGAGAAAGGTGACAAAGCTTCCAAAAGATATAAAATCAAAGTCAAACGCGGCGATTTGATGGCATTTTCTGGGGGAATCAATTTAATCGCATTTAATGCCAGGCCAGACATCGAAATAGACGACGCAAAGCCGACTGGCGATATAAAAATTTCAATAATTTTTCCCCAACAGTAGGGCCGAAAATATCCAACCCCCAAACACTGGGGAAAGAAAAGAGAGGTAGATATTTTTAGTACATAGATACGACTAAGAGATACCTTAGGATAATTTTCTTATTTTTTAAGTAGAGTGGAGAAAGGGGGTAATTTTCATTCAAATATTACATAAAAGTATATATAAAATAAACCAAGATAATCCCTTTGTTATGTTTAGTCATTATTTTATTATAAAATATTTACTGTAGGTCTTTAAAAAATCAGAAGATCAATAATTTTATTATAAAATTATTAATAACTCATTAACAAGATTATAAGTTCAGTAAACTCTTGAAAAATAAATACTCTAGGTCTTAAAAAGGTTCAAAAGTCTAATAAACTCTTTAAAAATTATACCATTACAGGGTATTAAAAAAGGGGAAAGTATCTTTGAGCAAGTTAAGTGCGACATCTCTGGGGGAAATTGATTTAACATTATTGCTCCACCTTCTACGCACCGCTTGAGAGATGAGATGAGACGAGTTGAGATGAAATGAGATGAGATCGTATGAGAAGAGAACCGATCTGATGGCGACACCTTGCCTCTGACAAAAACACCCACTAATTAGTTGTATCCCAGAAGATATTTATGCCCCATAAAACTCTTTCTTCTTCTCTTCCATGGATCTACCGGCAGCTGTGTGCGATAAAAACGCGCCCAAAATTAGGCAAAAGTGCAGTCGAGTGAGAAACGATTAACTGCCTGCATTAGCTCAGTCTCTGATTGATGCCAAAAATTAGCAGGAGCCCCCGGGTTGTGTGTGCTCTGCTAATACGAAAATGGGTTTTCCCCTTTCGGGGGCTCCTGGTAGAAACTAGCTCTGCAGGTTAGCCTTTCCTTCCCTTTCAACTTCAACTTCAACTTCAACTTTTCAGCTCCATCATTCCCAGCCCACTCGCCTGATCGCCCCAATGTATCACGATGGATTTATAGTTTAGTATGCACGATCAATCAAAAATCGTGAAAGAGAGAACTCCAATTCCGAACTCTTCTGTGTCTAACAGTAAACCAAGTGAAGGAGAGAGATGACCTCGTGACCATCGTGATTTTAATTCTTGGTAATTAAAGTCAGTCAAATAAGAGAGCTAATAGTTTAATAAAAACGCCACTTTACCTAAAAATAATACTTCAATTTGGGATTTAGTATTACCAAAACTAGTTACTATAGTTAAAGGATACTACTTTATATTACTTTATATTCCTTCACGTGATCATCACCAACTAACTGGCATTAAAAGTCTTCAGTCGTCGGGGCATATTCAAAAGAAAGTCTTTCAGACGAAGCGTTGCCAATAAGAATTATTACACCTGATTGGAATCAGCTGCCGCAGCGGCAGTTTTAGCTTGAACTTGACCAGTCTACGGGGGAAAACCACTTGTGGGTGGGTCTCCCTGTCTTCTGAGCTCCTTCCCTAAAGAATCCTCTCCAGACAACCGAATCTCAGACTCTGGCCAACTGCATTTATTAACATTTTGACTTTGTGACCAATATAAGCAAAAAATCCCGCAAATCCCGAATTGTGGCTATTGGGTAGGCGTACTTAATCGATCGCTTGTTGATAGGCAAATTGGCAACAACAACAACAACAACAATTTCCCCAAAAATAAGATGGCCATAACCTGTTTGGGTTTCCTCGCTGGAAAATTCGTGATGAGCATGGAAAGCAAAATAAAAGCGAGGTAGAAAAGAGGCTGCTTTAGTTCTTGAGTTTTACTTTTGGCCAAGTCCACTGTGCGATCTTTATCTTGGCCGGTAGAAATTTTCGCTAGGGCTCCATCGTTCGTCTCAAAGTCATTTACATTTGGCGGGACGACGGGTTTCTGGGGATTTGGGGAACGTCTGGGCTTTTGGAGTCTGGACTCTGACAGTTTGGAGCATTGCAAAGTGATCGTTAAATCACGAATATTTAATTGTCTTCATCACCTGAGGGTGCTTGAAATTAGTTTGGACTTGCTTTTTTACATTTCTTCGTAGTCGTTCGTCGTTCGAACTCCTTTCTGTAATGGCCTGTAATGGTCTTGGCTTTTTTTTGGATGGACCATTTAGGCTGACGGACCTGGCCCTGGCCCTCTTATGTTTTTCTCTTTCGGGGGGTTTAAGGTTTAAGACATTAGCCGCAAATTGCATGCATAGATTCGGCCTTTAATGAGCTTGAGCAGCCAAACGATATTTGGTGCTAATTTTATGGATTCAGGTTGGGCGAAATAAGTAACCATCAAGAGCCTAAAGGCCAAAGAAATGGTCAAGTAAATTGATCGTTTTGATGGTTGAAATCGGTCAATATTTTTAATCGGGAGTTTTCTTATTAGAGTTAAAGAGTTCCCAGAGTTCCAATTGATTTCAGATTCTCTTACTGAAGCACAACAACTGTTAAAGCTAAATTTCTAATATCAAAACTTCATATTTTTATAGTACTTTCCCATATTAAACAGTCACACTTTCCCGGTTATGA